TGAATCTTTATGTCTCGACCATTTCGAGACTCCTCGTCATGTCCGTGATCTCATCGGGACTCTGAACAACCTTCGGTCATCAAATCACATAACTCATAATACAAATCATCATCGAACGTTAAGTGTGCGGACCCTACAGGTTCGAGAACTATGTAGACATGACCGAGACACATCTCCGGTCAATAACCAATAGCGGAACCTGGATGCTCATATTGGCTCCTACATATTCTACAAAGATCTTTATCAGTCAAACCGCATAACAACATACGTTGTTCCCTTTGTCATCGGTATGTTACTTGCCCGAGATTCGATCGTCGGTATCATCATACCTAGTTCAATCTCTTCACAGGCAAGTCTCTTTAGTCGTTCCGTAATGCATCATCCCATGACTAACTCATTAGTCACATTGCTTGCAAGGCTCATAGTGATGTGCATTACCGAGAGGGCCCGGAGATACCTCTCCGATACACGAAGTAAAAAATCCTAATCTCGATCTATGCCAACTCAACAAACACCATCGGAGACACCTGTAGAGCATCTTTATAATCACCCCGTTACATTGTGACGTTTGATAGCACATAAGGTGTTCCTCCGGTATTCAAGAGTTGCATAATCTCATAGTGTGAGGAAGATGTATAAGTCGTGAAGAAAGCAATAGCAGAAAAACTAAACGATCATTATGCTAAGCTAACGGATGGATCTTGTCCATCACATAATTCTCTAATGATGTGATCCTGTTCATCAAATGACAACACATGTCTATGGCTAGGAAACTTAACCATCTTTGATTAACGAGCTAGTCAAGTAGATGCATACTAGGGACACTCTGTTTATCTATGTATTCACACATGTACTAAGTGTCCGGTTAATACAATTCTAGCATGAATAATAAACATTTATCATGATTTGAGGAAATATAAATAACAACTTTATTATTGCCTCTAGGGCATATTTCCTTCATGGAGGCCCAACACGACTAAGTTGTGTAGTAGACATCACACCCCACCACGACTAAGACGCCGAAGCAGGAAACCATACCTGTCATCCACGAACGACGAACACAACACATGTCGCGTCTTCCATATGTCGTCAATGCACACCATAATCTGCATCCGCTCCTGGACTACCACCCAAGCTCTGCGCCGAAGCTGGAGCAAACGTCGTCGCAACGGCGGAGCCCGAGGACATAGGTCCACTACGAGGATGCCGCCGCCACGCTATCATTACTTGAACAACCTAGTTTCCAAATCCAACCCCAACCATAGAACCGATGGCCTTGTCAGGGAAGGATCCAAAGAATCTTTATTCAGTGTCATCATCGTCGTCACCGAAGCCAAAACGATGAACAGCCTAAAAACCTAGACCATGAGAGAGTAAAAACGATCCACACGCGTGGACCCAGTGTCCCCCCTCACCACCGACAACTGAGGTCACCGACGAAGGGGAGCCGCCGGAGGGTGGCACTGGAAGATTGGCCTCTCCTGGCGGCGACTAGGGTTCTAGCCGCCAGGGACCACTAGTCTCTAGGTGTTGGTAGGTTCGGTTCACCTCATCCCTCAGTATTCTCCTCCCACGACCCTTTGGCTTTTGGTTGATTTTTTTGATAGTCTCAACTAATGCCGCACAAAATAAAGACCAACATAAATACAAAAACTTGTGATAATATAAGGTAAATCGGTACTTTTCAAAATCATGTTCTACATTAACTAAATCAAATCAAATAAATCTTTGCAAAATCTCAACCAAATCAAAACTTTTCTTGCCTTTTCCTTTCCATACCTTAATCAAATCAAATCTTACCATAACCTCAACTAAATCAAAAAATTCTTTGCCTTCTCTCGAAATAGGCTTTCACCCCATTTTATAAATAAATCAACGGAAATGTTAACGCCCAAACGTGTGGGTGTTTGCATCTCGCCCACACGCGTGGATCCGCGTCCGTTCGTGAGGGCACGAATCTTGGCATGTTTCTAGTGCCACGTAGGACTAGCCTGGTGTGTGGGCGTTCAGCCGGTCGCCCACACGGCCGTTTCACCACACAGGAGGGGCTGGTGTGTGGGCGTTCAGTAGTTCGCCCACACGCCACTTTGCACGCACACACAAGGGCTAGTGTGTGGGCATTTGGCATCTTGCCCACACGCCCTTCTCCTCTCCCACACCCAAGTTGCTAGTTGCCATGTGTTTTTGCACTGCACATGGCAACTGCCCCTAGTGTGCTTTTATAAGCAGGTGGCAACTCTCTTTTTTTACCCGAGTTTGCCATGTGTTTTGCAGGGTACACGGCAACTGCCTAGTGTGCACGTAAGCAGATGGCAACTCTCTTTTACCGAGTTGCCATATGTTTTTGCATGGTACATGGCAACTGCCCTAACGTGCATGTACATGGCAACTACCCTAACATGCACGTAAGTAGATGTCAACTCTTCCTTTTTACATGGCAACTGCCCTAGCATGTTTGTGAGCACATGGCAACTCTCTCAACTTCCTAGTGTTAGTATGTGGCAACTCCTAAAATTATGAAATCATGGCAACTACATTAGATCAGACCATACATGGCAACTGCAGTTGAGCAACCATGTCAACTGCAGTTGTCCGACATGGTAACCGTAGTTCAGCGACATGGCAACTGCAATTAAACGAACATGGACGAGGGTCTGGACCATGGCAACTGCGGGCGCGTGGTGACCGTCACGCGTGGCGTGCGGGACCAGGAGGTACGAGACCTGACATACGGGCGTGTGGGCGTTATCAACTTCGCCCACACGCACGCGTGTGAGAGGGATCGGTAGGGGAAAAAAGAGGCGTGTGGGCGCTAATTATTTTGCCCACACGTAGGTGTGTGGGCTGTTCCTCTTATACACCACACAAAATGTGTGGGCGGACTCCCTAACGTCCACACATGTGGCACTTATCGGCGTCCTAAATCAAACACCCATACAACCAGAACCACAGTGGCAAAGCAACTAAGATGGCTGGAGCAACATCACAATCATGCCCATAAAAAGCATAAGTGAAATAGGAAAAGAAAACAACCAAGTGGCATGCAACATGACGAGAGTACGAAGATGACAATTTTCGCTATCCTCAACTAAAATTAAATCTTATCAAAATCTAAAATATGATGGGTGTGAGGTGTACATTGGACATGCTTGGTGTTGAACCGCAAAAAATATATATGCGCAATGCACGGACAATTAGCTAGTTAAGCTTAAATGACCCAATCCTGCTAGCGCTAAAATGGCATGGCAAAAAAAAAATCCAAAATGATGACAGCTTTTTTTATTAATACCTAAAATGACTCAATCAAATTTTTGTGAGGGGTCTCAGTCTTTTCTTTTTTTGAGAAAGTGAGGGGTCTCAGTCAATTGTTTTGGGGGAAGATAGTTCTAAGCAAAGGTGTAGCCAGGCCCCAGACTAGCCGGGCCACGGGCCGAGACGTGACGCCGGATTCCTTCTTCATTGGTATAGCATCTTCGATACTGTAGCACATATTCGGCCTGGGGCTTGCCTAGGGCCTGGCCCGGTCCTGGCTAAGCCAGTGGTCCGGTCTGGAGAAAAGTATTCCTTCTTTTTGATCAATATATATAAAGTTGGACAGCCTAAAAAATACAAAAATATATGTATAAAGTTGGCCTTTACCCCTAAAAAATACAAAATTGGTGGTGTGAACCAATTAGACTTTAGACTCTTTTTTAAGGCATCCACGGTGCTAGAAAAAGACGATCTTTTGTCACGTCTTGTTGCACCTGTTTTATTTAGTGAACATGCATGTGATCGAAGATGGGACGTGGAGGAAAAAAATGGTGCTAGCTTAGACGTGAGAGGAATCATCCACAACAGAAAAATCATATCGTGGTCCTTATCATTATATCTAACAAACAAGAGTAATGTTTATCTCATCTTAGTAGTGCTACTTTTTCGCTGGGCTCATCAACGGCAATGGGTGACTCAGGAATCTGGAGTCACGCAATTGCATTTGCCCTAGCTAACTAACATCCACTATAAATAAGGCAACATGCAAGCCCTCCGATTGCTCACTCCGTCACGTCCCGCGGGTCAGAGCGCATCTACACGTACGCCCGGCCTCCTCTTCAAGTGACGCGAGTATAACTAGCCACCCATAGCGTGGACGCGGAAACTTTCCAAGGTGCGCAACGGCCTCTGCCCCGATCCCGGAGCAGAGCAACAGATAGAACCCTTCCTTCCTCTCCCGAGATCGATCGACGCCGGTAAGATGCTGCCGTACGCGACGGCCGGCGAGGCGGAGGCGGCGCTCGGCCGCGCCCTGACGTGGGCGGAGGCCGCGTGGCTCCGCTACTCGGCGTCGGTGCCGGACCGCTACCTTCACTGGCCCAACATCGCCATCACATTGGTCGTCTACACGCTGGCGCCGCTGCCCCTCGCCCTCTTCGACCTCGCCGCGCCGGCCGCCGCCGCACCGTACAAGCTGCAGCCCAAGGTGCAGCACCCGCCGGCCACCTTCTTCCGCTGCTACATGGACGCCGTTCGGGTCTCGCTGCTCATCATCGGACCATACCAACTCATCTCGTATCCTGCCGCCAAGGTCTACTACACCTCTTGCATTGTGACTTACTGGTTATAATTAGGAAATTAGGTTTTTTGTTCATGAAAAAAAAACATAAAAATGAAACTGGAGTAATGACTTAGATCTCGCCTACTATTACCGAGTTAGAAGATGGAAATTGCATGTGAACGTTGGAATCTTTGAGTAGACACTTAATTTTCAATCGAAACTTCTGGACCTGAATTTAGATTGAAAAACAAATCACTAGATAAATACTGTGCACTAGCCTGTTATTAATTAGTAAAGATTCATGCTCTATATGGCGTTGATGTAGATTATTATAATCTCGTGTGACTGACCAATTTTTGTATGTTCTACTGTTTGCTAACAATTTTTTCCCTATTTCTGTCGCTATTTGTACGCAGAAGAGTGTAAAATAAGTCCAGTACAGCACAGTTCAGCAACTGCAAGCTGAGCCTCGTTGGATAAAGGTTCAGAGACGTAACTTAGGTCTTTTATCTGGATGAGTATTAGCTACCTAAAATTGATAGATATATAAAACATACATGGACATGGTGCATAGAAATTTGAACTGATGTAGATGTAACTATTTAGAAATCCAATGACTGAAAAACACTAAGAGTAAGAACATGAGAAGAATCATTCGCAAAAAAAAAACATGCGAAGTAACTAGGAAAGCACCTATATATGCCATAAGAAATTTAAGTGCCTAGAGAACAAACTTCCAAGAAAACAACTCAGTTTCTATATTGTGTGTTTGTTAGATAATGGACATACGGACGGGACTTCCATTGCCGTCAATGGGGGAGATAGCGGCACAACTGACGGTATACTTCTTGGTGGAAGACTATCTGAACTACTGGCTCCATCGGCTGTTGCACACAAAATGGGGCTACGAAAAGATCCACCATGTTCACCATGAGTTCACGGCACCTATGGCGTATGCCGCATGGTATGGACACTGGGCTGAGATGCTCATCCTTGCCGTGCCCTCCTTGGCTGGCCCTGCTCTCGTCCCATGCCATGTTACCACGCTGTGGATTTGGTTTGCTGCACGTTTGGTTGAGAGCCTCAACATACATAGCGGGTAACATCACTTCACTCCATCTAACGGGCTTTTTTTCTTCTTGAATTCAGATATCTGACTTGTTTCATTTCTAAACATATTGAGACCAATCAAATTAACTATAAACATGTTCTTTTGTGACCGGAGAAAAAACAAGCTTTGTAACATGTGTCTTGTATAATAATTCTTTGACTACAGATTTAAGTTGCCATTCAACGCTGAGAAGTATATACCGTTCTATGGAGGGGCGGAGCACCATGACTACCATCACTACATAGGAGGACAGAGCAAGAGCAACTTCGCTCCTGTTTTCACCTACTGTGATTATATTTATGGAACGGACAAGGTATCTAGAGTTCTGCTATCTTACACTTGAATGATTTAAAACCATATGAATTAAGAACTGATGGCAGGTCACTAAGTCATCTTTCGATCTTTTTTTAGGGCTACAGATATCACAAGGCAACTCTGGCAAAGGTAAGCTTCTACCAATCTTTTTTTTAAGAAGCGTCTTTTCAACAATCAACATTATCTATGCTTAAGCATAATAATATTTCACGCCAACTGTTACAATAATAGTGTGATATGCTGGCTCTTTTTCCTTGAAAACTTGTCCACTTCCTAGGGCAACTTGTCCACTTCCTAGGGCGTGGCATCTTGGTTCTCTGCTAAAGAACATTATTTGACTCCCACCAACCATAGGTTGGATAGATTGATTTTGGATTTCCACTATGATTATTATTTTCCTGTACTTGTGAACAATTCCTGATATTTTTTCCTTAAGAAATAAGTTTAAAATTATTCATGTTGGTGGGATGGACTCCCTCCCTTCACAAATATAAGATGGTCTAATTTTTTGTGAATCGGATGTATATAAATACATTTTAGTGTGTGTGTTCATTCATTTTAGTCCATATGTAGTCCATATTGAGATTTCCAAACCATCTCATATTTGTAAATGGAGGGAGTATATAATACATACACGCACCCATACCCTTAATTATCAGTTAGCTATAGGGAAAGTTTATAAGTTTATATTGTCAATTCTTATTCTCTTAAACTGTAATATGACTCAATACATAGGGAAACAAAAATGAAGGTATTTATTTTACAGACTACCTGCATCCTAGGATTTGTTGAGGAGGCAAACATCTGGTATTATCTTAACTTTGTTTGTTTTTGTATCATTGCATCGAACAGCTGAAGGAGTTGGCAGGCAGCGACGTTCAGAAAGGAGTCGACAATGGATTCAACAATGGAAAGCAGGACTAGAGAGAGGTTGGCTTCAGAGGACTCATGGTCATACAAATCCTATCACTAATTCAAGTGGTCTCCGGATATATATCCCCATGATGGAGTACACTAGCATAAATAATTGTTCTATGCCAATCATCAACGTTGAGTGGCTCGTGAACCACCGGCAGAGTCGTTCCAAGTGTTAATTATTTCCAGTTCTCCATTCGTACACATAGCTCCACTACTTCTCTATTATCGAATGTAATAATGATGCTTAGTTCGTGATATGCTTGAAAGTGTGCTTCTTTGCATACTACGTGACATGTCTCTAGCAAGCAGGCATGTGGGAACCGTCAAATATGGAGACAATAGTCGAGAGCATTTGCGTTTGTACTTCCAATATCAGATGTTGTACATAATTGGACAATCTATCTTTTTCCCTATATTTACGATATATGTTGTCTTTCGGTGATCAGTATTTTTTTGTGAGGTTTTCTTTTGGGGGAATTTTCGATGAGCAATATGAGTATGAGACTACAAAATTCTAGAGGATCACCTTGGCAATCTTGTTAGTTAGAATTGATGTGTTTGGTTTTAGCCTAACTTCTACGACAAAATAGTTGACTAGCCAAAATTTTGATGGAACTTTTGCTTGCCTTTGAATTGGTCAACAACGGCTAGAAAAAAAATAGAATGGGTACAAAAACATTGGTAGCTATCCAAACATAGACCAATTTTTTTTTTGTCATGACCAGAAAGTTGATAGGGCGTGAGTGTTGGCCACCATCCAAACATACCCAAACTGTGCAGGTAAGTATTATTCCTCGATCGCCCGAGAAATCTCCAGAAAGCATTCATGCAAGGATGTTTTTCAGCTTCTTCGTTCTATGGGCTCTTATCTATCGTGCCGCTTGTGCTTTCTCTATAAAGTGGGGTGATATGCCCATTTCGTATATATCACGTCACTTTTGCAGTGTTTTACACCTGACAGAGATCAAATCACTACAAGGTCCACGATGGCGACTGCAAACTATGTCTTGTAAATAAAAGGAAAGAACATCCAAATTTACGAGAAGATACAATTAGCAAAATGTTAGCCCAGGGATTGTCACTTTGTACGGTAACGACTATCCGTGGACCAGAGGGGATAGATTTCCCCAGTTACTTGTAACATGTGGAAGAGTGGATAGAGCCCTGCCCGTAGTGGGCGGAACCCATGTTAGTATATTTCTTATCATGAACGTGACATCGCATCGCAAACCAGAAGACGAAAGCTCGGGAAAACGACAACTCAAAAGTTAGCCAGGCCTTAGCAAGTATCGTGGATCCAATTGTTGCTTTTCCTTCTCTTAATTTCCTTTTATTGCCGTTCCTAACAGAAAAAGGTAATCATATTGATAGGGATAAACGATGTCTTCTCTTACGCAAGGTGGTTAGTAGTTCTAGTGCAGTTCATCCACATGGACAAGTGTTCCTTTTGGTAACTTCTAGAAATGTTCCACTTTTAGTCCTAGTGCGAGAATGATTCTCGATAGATAGGCTAAACGTATGTGATTTGTTACGTATCCCTTTTGTTTTCAATTCTAATATGTTTTGGATATATCAATATGGACTACATACGAATTGAAATGAGTGAACAAACACATCAAAACACGTCTATATATATTTGATTAAGAAAAAGTAAGAATATCTTATAATTCGAAACGGAGAGAGTACTCGGGAAATACAATGAAACTTGTTAAGGCATCTCCAAAGGCAACCCGAAAAAACCTCCCACATTCATCCACAGACAGGGGACCAGTCTGCGAACACAGATGCGGGTGGACTCATCCAATGCTAGCTGCATACATTTTCACAACAATTCAAATCAACCGGGTGAAATTCGTGCAAACACGATGAATTTTGATATAAACACATCGGATTTCATTGAACGTAGGATAATTTGCTTATAAAACTGGACGATATTTCGTCCAGTTAACTAAAACCCTAAACCATCCTATACTTTACGGTGACCTCGTAGCCAATGCCAGGCTGGCCGGCTCCTCCTCCTCCCTCATTGTCGCCCGACCCGCCGTTGGAGTTGGAGTCGTTGGGTTTGGGGCTACGGAAGGTGGTCGCGCCGCGACAGGGCTTCCTGGCGGCCGCCTGACGCTCGCCGATGATCCTCTCCGCTTCCTCCTGCACCGTGCGCAGTGCGCCCGCGACCACCGATAACGTGGGTTGGGGGAGAGAGCGGCGGTCGTTGAAGGCGTCGTCGTTGGCGACGGCGGCGATCTCGACGAGGGACCATTCCTTGCCGTACTTGGCCATATCCCCATCGAGGCAGCGGAGACGGTGCTTGGCCGTCTTCGACGTCGCCACGGAGCGGTCTAGGGCCCAGGCGTGCGCCAGGTATAGGTCCGTCGCGATGTGTGGGAGCGGGACGTCGGAGTCCGAGAACTGGGATCGGCGCGCGGCATTGCGCCAGTCCCGCCGGAGCTGCTCCCGGTAGGCGTACTCCTACGCCGTCATGGCGCTCCGGGACGATGACGACGAGGAGCCGCCGCAGAGGTAGTGTTGAATGCACCCGCGCGCCTTGGGCAGGGCGGCGGCGGAGAGCATGGAGGGGATGCCGGCTCCAGCTTCACGAGGAGGAGTGCCCCCAGGTGGCGGGGCCGGGCTGTTGGTGTGGACAACGGAGCGATGGAGCATCAGCTCCATTTCCTCCTCGAACTCCGCATCGGGGCCGGCGTAGACATGGCCCGGCACCGCTGGCGTGGACTGCGGCGGCGGCGGCGGCTGCTGGTCCTCCTGGTCGGCGGAGGAGATGACGATCTCCACCCACGTCGAGTCGCCGCCTGCCAACGAGAACGACGGCCCCGGAGGTCGAGGGCGGCGTCTCCACGAGCCGCCAAATCCCGCCCCAGAACCTCTTGCGGGCGCCAGTGCCCAGGACTTGCCCATCGTCGGAGATATGGAGGAGGGGGTGCGACGAGGAGGAGTAGTATGAGGAAGGAGGAGGGTGTGATGTGGATCACGCCGGAGCGTGGCTTAAATAGTCACGGCCAGCCATGCGAAGGGTCGATCAGCCGCTTCAATGCGGCGCAACGGCCGGAGTTGGTTCCTGGCGAACGTGCGTTCGCATTGAAGCGACGACTGCCGAGAGATCACATCGGTCAGCGCCGCCCTCCCCCCTCTGGTCACACCGCGTCATCATTGCCGACCTTCGCGTGCTTTGGGCCGGTATGAATGCGACGTGGTAAGCGGCACGTGCATCGGAAGGAAAGCACATGAGGGGCAGGTGACGGGTTTTTTGTAGGGCAGGGCGGTCAGAAGCGGGCTTGAGAGCGGTCCGGACTCCCGCAAACCTCCCCACTTTGTCTCCGATTTGCGGGAGAAATCACGTACGGACCACTTCATGGACCGATATGGCCGGCGTTGGATGGCTTCCGCGGTCCGGACGGTAACGGGAGGTTTACGGGTCCGACTTGAAGATGCCCTTAGATACCGCTTTAAATGTTGTATGCTTATTTTATTTATTTGCGGGGAAATTAAATGTTGTATGCTAAGAGCATCTTCAATAGATGATGTATATTTTGGTGCTCCAAATTGGTGATGTAAAAATTTGCATCACCAAAAAGTGATTTTTACATTGCATCACCAAAAAGTGATTTTTACATCTTCGAAAAAGGCTCAACTCCAATAGATGGTCCAAAACGAAGATGTAAAAGAGCAACTCCAACAGATGGTCCAAAACGAAGATGTAAAATTATGAAAACGACCAACTACTACTTCATCTCAAGATAGTTCAAACATCAAATTCAAACATAGATGACATAAATTTAAACTAGCAGAACTACTCGTCGTCCGAGGGCATCCGGTACGACTCTTCAGAGTCATCCGAGAGCCCCCAGAACTCCTCGTCCTCCTCCAACGATGACTCGATGGGGATCATCATCGAGGAGCCGGCCTCGTCCTCCTTCTTTACGTCATCCTCCTCCTCCTCCTTCTTCTTCTCCTCGGCATCACGCTTCCAGTAGAACTCCTGCTCGGCCTGGACGTACTCGGGATGCTCCCTCGCAAACCGAGCCATCACCGCCTTGTCGCTCTCGCCGGGAGTGACGACAATCGCCGGTCTCTTCTTCTTCTTCTTCTTCTTCTTCGCCGACATCTCCTCCATCCGGATGCCCTACAGCACGAGCCACTCCGTCACCGCCTAGGTCTCGATCTCCAGGAAGTTGATGCCCGTCTTCTGCCATCCGGCACGCCACACCGCCACGTCGTAGGCACGCGTGGCCTCTTCGGCGGTGCGATACGTGCCGAGCCACCAACGCCGCCCGGCGTCAGAGAACTCCACTCCGAAGTTCCTGGAGGGCTTTGCCCTCAATTTCGAAGAACCCGACTTTCCCTTCGGCGTCTTCTTCGGTGCCATCGGGTGGTGGCGGCGGCCGGAGCGAGTCGGGGCGGCGGCGGGTGGAGAGAGGCCGGGGTGGTGGCGTGCAGGCGGGGCGGAGGCGGATGGAGCAGGGCGGCGGCGTGCAGTGCGGGCAAGGGCATGCGGCGGCGGCGTGTAGTGCGGGCAGGGCGGGCGGAGGCCGGAGCGGA